CAGAACCTATGATTTCTACATACTGATATTCTCTGTAGATTACTTTGGAAAAGCACTCTCTTTCTCTCGTTCTATATCACTCTTTGTATATTTTAATGCCGTTCAAAGTCAGTATCAAAGAGCATTCGAACCCCAAAAACGTACATCAATAAATTGGAATAAAAATGCGACCATGAAAGAATCAACAATATGCAATATACCACAATCAGTATATGTTAGACGAATATTTATTGTGCGGTATGAATACAAAATTACTTACCTTGGGCGAAAATAGGCACGCCACCGTAACACTGGCGGACAAACTAATTGCCATTGACATCGATGTTAATCGAAGTGGTACATGATTTGCGGTAACAAAATACAAGGGGACAAAAGCCAACCAAATAACACAAGTAGTATACATGGTGAAACCTATTCAATTTTTTTGTTGCCATTCCGATTCATTCGTGTCGCATTATCGTCATTGAGATTTTTTGTCGTCCCATGGGTTCGATTATTTTCATGTTTTGAAATTACGCGCACGTACGATTGAATAAAAAATAAATAAGTCGGGTTTTAGTCGATTATCAAATTTTGCAGAAAATAATAACTTAAATTCAACTGAAAAATGTAAAATATATATAGGAAACATGGGATAAAAAACTAGTTTAGCCTCAAAAAATATATACTACACCGCACACATTCAATTGCATAAATAGAGATAATGCTGCAAATAAACGTTATACGCAAAAATACAAGCCCGATTATCACATTTTATAGCAGAATGTTTGAGTTTATGATACAAGAAAATAACTACAGCAACAGCACTCACCTATATGCTTAGATTCATTAAAAGCTTCCGGTATTTTTCGTGTCAAAACTGCATGAACTGTACAAATTACTATTAAAAATATCGGATATGAAAATGCAATCATATACGATGCATCCACATAAGAGTCGCATACAAGTAAATTATCTTCACGGGTTGGATAGTGATACATGGCACGTGCAGGTGAAATTATCATCCAGATGACATTAATTATAACCTGAAAAGTTTTTGAAAATAGAGAAAAACAAATAGTTCCTATTGGTTTTTTGTTGACATAAGTTGCTGCATTTTTCCATTACATTCATAAATTAGAATTAACAAAAAAATATAAAAAAGGATGAATTAGCAAAAATACACCTTTGCACACGTAATTTAAACAAATAATAAATCAACAGTTAGAAAAATATAATGTGATGAAAACCATACAATGTACATAAAATATCTGTTATGTTTAGCATACACGGTGTCCGAGTGAAAAGATGCGTTAAGTATGCGCTATTTGAAATATCTGTAAAAATATATCTATCTATCTATTTACATTTCATGATATAAACATAATTAGAAAATGATTCATCTGATCTACATTTCGTCTGAATAGACCAAATATGGGAAATGAATCATTCATGGTTCGCAACACATGTGAAAAATGGCACTTTGTGTGAAAACCCGTAATCATACCCAAAATTTCTGGCGGCAGTGTGGATAGAGAGATAATTAACGATAAAGTTAACAGTTTTATTAATTTGGTTTGTAATAGCTCTAGTCAATAATTCATATTATAACCTCTAGATAGCAAAATATCATTAAAACACACATATGAACTAAATTTTTAAACACACATATGAACCCCAAGTCAGTATAATACTCTTTTCGAAGAGTGTACACGCTCTTCTCACACTCTTCGTATAGTTTTATTCGACTCCCTTCTCACACTCTTCTCACACTTTTGCATATAACACGTATATTGTTTTTAACTGAGCTTCAATTTTTTTCTCTGAAAAATTTTCTTTTTTTTCTTTATAATAAATTTTTCCACTGATGGATAATTTTTGATTTTGTTAATTTTTGACATTTTGAAAAAAATGAACGTATACAAAAAAAATGAATTAGCTGTTGCAACAGCAATTGTCGTTCTGTTGTATTTTGACACAGCTGACCAATGCTATAAACGTTCAAATATCAAAATACAAACATTACTTCCACTGGAATGCAGTGACAGCAGTTCTCACTCAATATACGTGTTTTATGCAAAAGTGTGAGAAGAGTGTGAGAAGAGTGTGAGAAGAATGTGAGAAGGGAGTCGAATAAAACTATACGAAGAGTGTGAGAAGAGCGTGTACACTCTTCGAAAAGAGTATTATACTGACTTGGGACGTTCGAAGATTTTGACGATGTACAATTATAAAATCATGTTATTAACAAAACTCATTCAATTTTCAAGAGTTTAAATACGATTCTCGGTTAAATTTACTGATTAAATCTATTGAATATATCGAGAAGAGAGTATGCTATTCAGCGCTTATAGCTTAGTAATGTCTGAATGAAAACATACTCTCCTCTCGATTTTTTCAATAGAAATGTCCCGTTAAAAGTTTTGATTACTTTTACTACAAGCACATAGTAACTTTGAACTTTTTGGTAAAAATAACTGAACTGACTCTCTTTCAATAGACAACACAGGAAAACTATGTGTATTTATATGTTATTTTGAAAAATACATATTGATTTTGCTAGGTTTGAACATCCGCATTTAACAAGGATACATCACTATTGGTTGCGTCTGATGAGCATGGTGTTGGCCTATAATAAACGAACTAAGTCACACTTGCCGTTTGGGCCCATGGGAGTAATTATAATTCGCAAACTCCATAGGAAGTTTTCGTACTGGAAGATATTTGGACACATTTTAAAATCACCTTCCGGATTACTTCTTTCGCCTGAATCATTACGAAAAAATAACTCTCCAAGTTAAATATCTCTATTATTGCACATTAAATAAATCTATTTTCGAGTAAATTAGAAATATTTAAAATCACTTCGAATAATTTCAAATGAACGGGTGAGGATTAAAGCGAGCTCAAATCCCGAAGAAAATAAAAGAGCATGAAATTCATGATTTTTTTTGAATGGAGTTGTTGTAATTACAACAACAAATCTATGTAAAAAAATAATCATGATGCTCTTTTATTTTCATCGAGATTTGAGCTCACTTTAATCCTGACCCATTCCAAAAAAAATTGAATCACATTAAATTATTGTGTGTGACTCTTTGCAGTGAAGTTGACTGCATGCATATCATGATGCTGAGATTGTACTGTCAAATAATCTTGCACAGAAAGAAAAAATGTGGTATTTTTTAATCAATTTTGGTAGATTTAATATAAAATTAACCAACAACGAATTAAATTTACCATTTTTGACATCTCTGAGGCATATTTTTCAAAAGTGACTATTTGTTGAATAAGTTTTACCAACTGCTTCATTACATTAAACAACTTTTCGAAACCATAGATGACGCTAGCCCATGAATTTGGTGAATGAAATGAAGCAATTGGTAAAAATTATTAAACTGATAGTCTCTTTTGAGAAATATGCCTCAGAGATGTCAAAAATGGTAAATTTAATTCGTTGTTGGTTGATTTTATATTAAATCTACCAAAATTGAATTAAAAATACCACATTTTTTCTTTCTGTGTGTCAATAATCAACTCAAATAAATACAAATCGCAATGAATCGTGTCTTCCCCTAGTTTTACCCAAAAATCGAATATTGTGTGCTGCTAAAACTGTAACATTCTTTTGTAGTAGAACATATAAAAACTGATAGGTCAGTTTTAATACAGACATTGCATAGTAACCTTTAGGTCGTTTTTCAAAACTTTTGATTTGGTTTTTTTTTTCTAAAAAATATGGGCATTTTTTCGTAGAAATAGTCGTTAATTCATACAAACTATATAACCACACATCTATGTAAAAAAGGAAGAAAATAACTTATTTACTATAATAAGTTATATATGTTACTTACCTGGATTGACGTTAACCCAGTACAAATGACTAGCTGTGATCGAGGACTAATGAAAGATGGTCGTTTGGCTGATTGTTTCCCGTGTTTGAATATTCGTGATATGCGATTCGTCTTGGTAAGAAGTGCTCCATACACAACAGTAAAACAGAAGCCAGCACAAAACCTGTTCGAAAAAAGTATTTTTGGGGAAAAAGATTGGTTTAGTTCTTTTGTTCGTTTCTTTTCATACACTCAGATTTAAATTAACTTAAACCTAAAAACGAAAAGAAGTTTTTCTATCTAACTAAATAATGTCAATTTACAGTTTTTGTGCTCACACTCGACTTCACTTTCAAGTGCAACGATATTACAGCCGACAAAACCGCAACAGTTTCTTTTATTCACATTCCATTTTTCAATACACTGAGTGAATCTAATAATAATTCCTTTAGTAATAATAAAATAGTATATAGTTGTCGTCTTCGTTTATTTCAATTTCAGTTTTTTCGTCTGTTTTTGCCAAAGCGCAGCTGGAAATCATGTAGCTGACACGAGTCACCTGAAATCCTTATTCTATTTCCACAAAAGCTTAAGTTTCCCATTTAAACATTAAATGTGCTGTGGATAATAAGTTTCATATCGAGTATTGGTATGCACAATACTTCCTTTATATAGAAGCCCCATTTCTTTACTTCTTCCATTTTTTACCAACTTTGCTACTAGTTTATTTTTAGGAAGTCACTTAATATGTAACCAGAAATACGTTCAATTAGAAAGCAGCATAAACGTATAGTTCGATTTCGTTTCGGTGATTTTGACATTGATTTTGGAAGCTAAGTTATTAATTTTGTTTGCCATCTCTAGGATTATTTATAATATTTCATGTGATCTATTGTATTGAAATTGTGTAGCAGAGCTGGTATTTTCACTTTGGTAGTGCGTGCACACAGTAGACTTTACACTCACAGACTGTGTGCGGCGCACACAATACCTATATTTTTACATTTGCACACATATTCACATAGAAATTTGACAGTTGTCGAAAAATTCAAAACTAATATTTGAAATATAATCACCATATGCGTTTAAGTACAAACCGAGAGTCAAGCGCAATAAGGACACACTATATAAACGCCATCTATTAATAACCGACTAACTACAATGTAAATCAAACGTATCTGTTTCCCCTTTTTATTTACTCCCTTCTCCTCTCCCTATACTTTTACATTGTAGTTAGCCTGTTTTACAAAGATGTCGTTTCTGTGTAAGATGTGTGACGTCACAATGTATTTATATGGATAGCGCTCGACTCTCGGTACAAACCTGAACGAGCAACCAAAAACATGCATGAATTTCGACAAAAGCAAATGAGACTCCCTGATTCTGCCTTTGGATCAGGGACAAAAATATAAAGAAACAATTTTAAAAATTATTTTTAAATTAAAGCTAATCGTATCTTGTAAGAAAAGTGATTACAAAAAACCAAAAAGAGAAGAAAATCTTCACTTTTCTAGTCTGACTGATTATCTATTGATTTATCCATGTATACAATATCAAATAAAAAACCTCTATCGAGGTGAAGAACGAGTGACGAAACC